ATACATTTGATAGAGTTAAATTGTGACTGCTGACATCACAGTTTTAGTGTCGGTCACCTGTTCACCATGAAAAATGTCCCAGCATGCAACACTAACAGGATGAGGAGACGCCGTTACCACCTGACTGACCTTGTCCAATCACATCAGGACCTTTAGGAAACAGTTCAGCGAAGTTTGGAAAAATGATTTTTACTGTTTTACTGTAAAGGTTTAAAGAAGTTGGTTTCATATTTATCTCGTTTCACATGCTTTCACTCTGAAAACATTCACTCAACTCCAGTTTATGTTCTGAAACTCAGGTTCTAGATTAAGTGGAAAGAAAAACATCTCTTAAGTTTTGGTGTGAAGTTTCAGAACAATGCTCGAGGTTCTTCTCTCCACAGACGACAGATCTGCTCATTGTGTTTGTCTAGAATGTTGTTACAGCAGAAACATGTATTTATACACATGTATAATATGTCTTTGTTCTTTTTAAAACTTGATTTTAATCATGAACATGTTTTGAAAAGTATGAATAATTTAAATGAGGGATGGGCAGGGCTGTCCACATACTATTGTCCATATACATCAGTCTCGACATTCAAACTTAATATTGATCCAATTTATCATCGTTGATAAAAACTAATCCAGATGCACGATATGATCACATGTGGCCGATCAAACAGGAAGTGACAGCGTCTCTAACATCTGTTCAACCTGACAACGTCCGTGAGAGCCGAGGAAAGTCAAAAGTAAACAGTCAAGTAAAAATGAGCCGGTGCAAAGTAACATGTCTGATGAGCCTGTGAGTCAGAGCTGAGGGCTGAACCAGATCCAGATCCAGATCGAGTTCTGGTTTAAGGTTAAACTCTGGATCTGATGGAGACTAAAAACAGAGCTGAATGATTACAGCAACATGTGAGCTAATGTTAGCACTGAGATACTTTTGCCTCGTACCACTATCAAGTAGATCAAGTTTAGCTAACGGCTAAGTCTAAAGCTATCTTTAATGTTTCATATAAGCAGCATTTTCAGCTTCTGTCCACCTGTTCACTACATTTCAATTTAAGAGATGTTAACATGTCTCAACTCACTTTATCACTAGGAACTGACATTAGCATCAATCTATGTTAGAATGATTAGATAAAGTTTAAATTACAGATTTTATTATTACTGGCTAATGTTTACGAGCTTAAGTTACAAACTAGCTTTTCAATGTTCGCTAACCTTAGAGCATTTCAAACCAGCAAATGTTTTATATTAAAAATGTTAGATATCTGATACTTGTTTTATCTATATAAAATACTGTCAGCCGTGAAGTGCATTAGCTTCAACTTTAAACTAGGTTCATAATGATTTACAGTTTTACGTTGACTATTGCTAGTTAGCAATGTTAGTCGCTAAACAATCTTTATTGTGGTTAGCTGACATTAGCAATGAATTCAAATCTGATGCTTTCAGCTAAAAGGTATTTAAGGTTTAGTATTATTAAGATGCGTTAAGATCCAAACCTTTAGCTTTGGTTAGCAGTGAGCTACATTAGTGACATTTGTAAACTGTGCTTCAAGGTTAGCTATCGTGAGCAATTAGCTACACTAGCTCAATGTGCAAACTCACTTACAGTTAGTGTATTTGTTTTTTATTTAACTTCAGGTTCTAACGTCGATTGGTTTTGAGTCTTATAAACAGAATTTCTCACTTGAACATAATAACATCTGGATTCAACTTTTTGGAAACATAAATACATAAGTTAAATAAGATTAAATGGTCAATAATTTCAGCTAAAATAATAAAAACGTTGATAGGTGTGTAATAGTGTTTAAGTGACTGGCAGCTCAGCCAATCACAACTCAAGATATTCAAAATAAATTCATCAGTTAGCATTAAGGAATCTTTTCACTCTTTTCCAAGTGGAAAAAAATAAAAGACTTTTCTTTAAAGTTGAAACTAAATTTAAAAACACAAAAAGTTAAAAAACAAAAGAAAGATGTCTGATGCAGAAAAGTGAGAATATTTAATAGACAGGATTTCTGCTGCTCGTGGAATATCACAAATTTGAAACGTGTTCCCGTGGAAAGCAGCTGCCATGTCATTAAAGTTCTCACTTTTCATGGTAATTTGTTCTCTGTGGTGACGACGACTTCAGCTCGTCTGTCTCATCGAGACGGAGACGTCTGATCGTTCAGCTCGTTTCACGTCTCCATCAGATCAACTGTTTTCATCTACAACTCATGTTCAAGTTTCCTGAGGCTGACGGAGCGCGATGCTAATGACGAGGAGGAGGATGGTGGTGGTGTTAGCGTTGCCGACTTGGCGTCACGAGGTGCTGGTGGGGTTCATGATGTTGTTGTGGTTGCCATGGTGATGGTGTGTCGGGGAGGGGCGAGGTCGAGCAGAGCACTGACGGTCCCGGCCACTTGGGGGAGCCCTTGATCTTCCAGAATGTGAAGAGGAAGACACAACTGACTCTACAGAGAAAGACACCACAGAAGAAGAAGAAGATGGGGGGGGGGGGGGGGAAAAAATTAAAATTAAAATAAATGAACGAATAAAATGGTATAAATCATGGCAACAGAAAATATAGAGCAAATACATCAACTAAAAAAATCATGAGAAGTGATGGAGGAAAGAAAAGAGACAGAAGATGCTCAGTTTGATGCTGTATCTGAGGGGACACACTGTCTCTGAGTGAGGGGACACACTGTCTCTGAGTGAGGGGACACACTCTCTCTGAGGGGACACACTAAAAACATAAATAAATAAAACATTTCCTTTAAGTTTGAGTCACAGATGAGTCTTTGTTATTTCTATGAACAGATCATCATCATCATCATTTTGTATAAAAAGTAAAGTCAAGTTTTCAACATTTGTCTTTTATTTCCAACCCCAAACGAGTGTCTGATTCCACTGCAGGAACCGGAACCCGGATGTTGTCTTGTGTTTTACAGAGCATCACATAACGTTCTTTAACATGGTGGGATAGAGTGTTACGCTTAGCGGGGCGCGTTAGCTTTGGCGAAGGCAACAACAGATGTTGAGTTATGATTCTCTAAGTTCCTGCAGTGGAACGAAGGACACGTGTCAACACTGAAACGCTTCAGCACTTCTCATGATAAAGGTCAAGTGCTTTATATTGTTGAAATGTATATTCATGACTCATCAGCGTAGTTTCTCCAACACTGTTGGTATCAGAGGAAGTCGACAAGTAGAAGACATGGGGGGGGACTCAGACAGGCACACAATCGTAAGGCACAGGGGCGGTGCTTCAACAGGCAGGTAACAAGCTTCAAGGTAAATCTCCAAGTGTGGGGATTGTCTAGTTTTACACGATCACATGATCCTCCACAGCTTAAAAGAATCTCTAAACATCGAGGAGGGAATGGACATATGGCAAACTCAGCAGAAACAAAGACACTGCTTTGGCTTGTTCTTGGGTGTCGAGCCCTAAAACGTCCCAGATCAAGGCCAATGAGTCCTAATTAAAAGGTCCAAGTAAAAATGTAGGTTTGAAGATCCCAGAACAACCATTGCCAGTGTTGAACTTTAGGTCCAAACAAAGTCTGTGTGTGTCTCTGGCTCTGCAACCTTATCGGCTGCCGTGGAGTAGATTCAAAGAATCTATTGTCAGGTTTGGGGATGGTAGCAGAACATTTCCAGTCAAAATACTTGATTCCAAATGAAGTCAGAAGTCAATTGTGATTCAAAGTCAAAGCTAAGTCCAGAAGGTGCTTGGAGTGAAGTCACTGCTTGTTTGCTTTGACAGGAACCAGTCGATTCAGGAATCTCCTAGACACCTTTCAGTGGAAGACTCTGTGTACATCTAAGTGATAGGAGACCCCAAGATCAGACCCAGAACACACTGGAGATGTCTCATCTGTCCAGGGAACACCTCAGGATCCCTGGGTCTGGGCCGCTGGGTTTACTTAACTCAACCTAGGTGAGCAGCAGACAGAAGATGAATGAAGGGATCACACTTGAGTTGTGTCCAAATTCATCAGACAAATTGTTGAGAGCAAGTCACGTGTGTCTACTCAGTTGACACAGCAAGGATTTTAATACCTGAAGGATGATTTGATGTGAGAATGATCTCTGAAGGGATTTAAATTTGATAACTTCAGATTAAAAGCTTCAGAACAGCCACCGCTGAGTTTAAACATCAAACATGTCACTCAACTTTGTTTAGGGCATTTTTCACTGGAAAGTCTTCAAACTAAGTTTTTCCTCCATACAGGTATGATGGTTCTTAACATGTTGGTTTTAGCTGGGATCCATTTCTCTCACTCAATCTAATCATACGTGAATCAGAGGCTCTGGTTGCCACGGCTCCACGCTCACCACTGCACTGACTCTGACTCCACATGACGTCAAAAGCACAAGGTGGAATGTTGGTATCTATGGTTGAGACAAAGAAGGGGATTGATGAGCAGCCACGTTAGGGTTCACCAGAGAGAGGCGGAGCTCAGACATTTAAAGGGAACTGATGTTCCTTCAAGCCCGCTGATGTGGTTCATTGACTGATTGTTGAGCGGATGTTTCATGAGGGCCATGAGAACCAAGGACTGACCTCCAACACCCTGGAGCAGTGATATAGCTCATCTGACCTGGGAACGCTTGAAGGAAAAGCTGCAGGATGAGAGAGGGACGTCTGGGACAGAACTAGATGGATGATAAAAGTAGCCTCCAGTTTATTTCCCTCTTGATTCTTTAAATGTTGTGCTGTGAATCTTGTATTGATGGATTGTTGTGCTGAGATGTTTGTGTCATCAGATATGTGTCTGGAAACATTATCGTAGATCTGTGGATGGTTTGCTCTCAGGTTCAGACGTTTGGTGTCAGGTGGACGTAGATCACACACAGCACCAACATGATTGACAGGTAGAAGAGGGCGAAGCCAGCCAACTGGACCCGAGGGGAGGGGCTGGTCGGGGGGTGGGCCACAGAGAGCAACATGCCCACTGTCCCATAAACCCCACCCCCTTTCCCCTCCAGGACCTCCCCCACCGAACAAAGACTGTCCTGAGGGTTTGTGTCAGGGTGAGATGGACACGGTGACGAAGGAGTGAGACGGACAGAAGAAAAAAAGGATTCATGAAAGGCGGGAAGATGGAAGAGAAGAAAGAAAGTTGTTAGTTGAGGAAAATTAGCTTTTTTTTTTTAAACCAAGAAAAGAGACAAGGAGCAGACAGTGACGTCACAGTCAGTTATACCTCATGCATCAACCCACTGTGACGTCAAATACTGACACACTGCTACTGACGTCACAAGTTGGTTTATGAGCTGCGTTTTGACATTTTGTCCAGCGCCATCTTGTTTTTTGAAAACCAGATGTAATCATATTTGGACAAGGTGATGAAATGTTTACTGACGTTATAAATCAAGTGATTTACTCTGGACCCGGAGTCTGTGTATAAACAGTCAATAAATGGAACTGACGGGGATGCCATGACCATGTGAACACAGATCGAGAGGCATTGATAAACGTCATCCCATCTCTCTCCCTTTTCTCCTCCATCCCTTCCTCTGCTTCTGATGGAATGAGGCAGGACTCCTCAAACAATCACCTGAGATAAAAACCTCAGCGACATTACTGTGAATCTGTGACATCAGGGTTCACTACCTATTTTTATTTCCTTCTGCAGGATTTCCAATTATTAATTAATTACTTTTGGGAGAAATTGAATATAAAATAATCCTTGTGATGTTTTCACTGGTGTGTTTCATCTAAATTGTATGAATTGTAGTTTTCTTGACCATAGAATTATCCTTTTATATTTAATACTTTATATTTACATGGGGGGGGGTTCTCTCTGTGGAGGCTGACGTGTTTTTTAATGTCGATCAAACTTGACAAACTAAAACTGAACTTCACCACAGGTTCTATTTCATGTTGGGAAGAGGGGGTGAGGTGAGGAGTATCCAGCTGCAACATGAAACTTCACCTCTAGATGTCACTAAATTCTACACACTGAACTTTTAAGACTTGACCTGAAGTCAAGTGAGTGGACATGTCAAGCTCAGAGTGTGTGTGTGTGTGTGTTACCTGTGGGACTCCGATCCTGCGACATGCCTCCAAGAAGTTTTCTACGTTTCGTCGACATTTGGCCATGGTGAGTTTAGGCTGCAGGACACAGTTCATGTTATTGTTATAACCACCAGCAGCAGCAGAGGGCGCTTTCTGCTTGTTACTGAAAATCATCTGTACAATCACAGCTCACCACAGCAGGGGAGGGGACGTGGATGCTGGGGACGGACCGCGGTCTCACATGATTAGCCAGGTGACACAGCACCACGCCATCAGTCAGAGCTGCTCCCAGGTCGCTTGGCAACGACACTTTGAGACGAGCCTCGATGTTCTGGACCGACAGACACACAGACAGACAGAGGTTTACATGCGTGTCACATGACGCCGATGCGTGACACACAGGTTGTGTTGTGTTAATGTACAATTCTGAACATTGTAACTACTGGCTACACTGCCCCCACGATTTCCTGTGGTATTGCCCTGTTTCATTTGTTTCGTCTGTGTCTGTAAACTTTCAAAAGACGAGCACAAAATGAACGCAGAGCACAAACAGAAGGTTCCGTCCGTTTCTAATGTTGAACCTTCAGTTGAAACCATCAGGTGTTAAACAACAGGTCAGGTGACTTAAGTTCAGGTGGAGGACAGGTGAGAACAGACCTTTCTGAGCTGATCCACCAGCTCAGCATCTTCTCCAACCAGAGGCGGAGCAGCAGAAGCCTCCTCCTGGTTCTGAGGAGGAGGAGCAGCAGCAGCATCATCCCCTGCAGGACGGAGAAGGAACAGCAGGAGTCAACACTTCAGATAGTTGACACGTGGTCTCCTTGTGTAATAATGCTTTTATCAGCTCAACCCTGTATTGCACAATCAAGTTACATGGATATTTTCTTTTTGTGACGTTGCATTAATATATAAATAGTTATATGACCATAAAATAACTATTCACATTTGGGCCTCGAAGCAGTTTCTGTCTGCATGAGACGGCCACATCACAATACTACAACTAATCTATAGATACCAGGATGGGTTCAATCTCATGTTATTCATCAGTAACACAGCCTCTGATTGGTCGACAAATCAGGAACAAAGCCTTGTTAGGCCTGATTAGTTGACAGACTCAACCCAAGGCATTGTGGGATGGTTGGTTAACCGCTAACAACCATGCTAAAATCAACAATGACTGTTTTTAACTTGGAAATGGGAAAATCATCCCAGAAAACATCCAGTATTTGATGTGTCATCATGGATAATGTCTCCTAAAAGACAGTAAAGTTCAAGGCTGGATTAAACACTAAGGGATACAATCACCATGGAGGGATATTTATTGGATTCCACCAATCTGAGCAAAAACAAGTCTCTAGAGTGCATCGTTTCTGAGATATTTCGTCATATGGGTGCTAAATTGTGAGGGTTAAAAGTTTCTTACCTTTCCTCCTTTCTTCTTTCAGACCGAGGCGAAACAGGAAGCTCTCTGGCCTTAGACTGGCTGTTCGACAGGAAGTCCCGCCCCCTGAGCTGGGGTAAGAAGGTGATTGATTGGCTGGAAGAAAAAACTGAATCAGTCACTGTCCGTGAAAAAGGACATAAAAATCAGAGTCACGTTTGTGATAACTTACCTGTAGGAGACAGAGTTGCTCTGTCTTCACCCTGCAGAGACAAGACAGGACAGATTCACACCTGAACATATCTGAGATACCTGTACACGCCTGGAAATACCTGAGTTACCTGAACACCCCTGAACATATCTGACAGTTACCTAGACACACCTGAACAAATGTGATGACACCTTTAAGTTAAACGAAGTTTAATCTGAAGTTTCTGATTGACGTCTAAACTCTACTCATAATCTGTGTTCAGAGAAAATGAACTGAACAAACAAGATGAAAAGATTTAAGTTTTTAAAGCCAGTAACCATGGAAACAGAGTGAGGGGTTAGGGCCGCAGGGTGCAGTACCTGCAGTGGACAGGAGGTGGCGTTAGCAGAAGCATGAGAGCAAAAGCTGTCTACAGACGCCCCAGTCACAGACTAACAGACAACAAAGAGACAAACGCAGGGAGTGACAGACACCACAAGATGAAGTTTGAACAGAAAGGAAAAAGAAGTCTGTCGTCTCACATGGTGTCAGGTCAGGTCACATGGTACAGATCACACCTACAGGTCTTTAATGACTCAAGTGGACACCTGAAGTCCACATTGGTCTCACACCTGGTCAGCTGAGGAGGCTCCTGCTCTGTGACCAAGGAAAAGTATGTGGACACGTGATGTGTCAGAGATCTGAGCTCAGGTGAGTCCTCCATGTTTCACACCTGAACCATGAAACTGGAGATCACATCACCACAGGTGTGAGACAGAACCTGAGAAACATTAAATGAGTTCACACAGAAAGAAGCTGGTCTGTGTCACACCTGTCTGTGGGAACCAGGTCGTCTCTTTATAGTGTTTGTATTAAAGTCAGATTCAAACACCAGGACACACTGAGAGACAGACAGGTAGAGAGAGACAGTCAGAAAGAGAGACAGTAAGAGAAAGTCAGAAAGAGAGAGAGACACAGTCAGAAAGAGAGGGGGACAGGTAGAGAGAGACACAGTCAGAAAGAGAGCGAGACAGGTAGAGAAGGACAGTCAGAGAGACACGGGTAGAGAGAGGGAGGGAGTGATGAAAATAAAAAAGATAAATATAAAATCATATTTGATGCAAGAAAGAGAAATAAAAGTGAGGACGAAGAGAAGAAGGAGTTAATACAGGAAACAGATTTGATCTCAAGATAAGATTCAGATTAAAGTGACTGTTATTAAATTATTAATATGAAGATTAAAGATGAGTCACAACACAAAGTCAGTGTTAAACATCAAGTTAAATATAAACACGTGTTCAATCCACAGCATCAGACCTGAAAGAGGTTAGTTTACAGACAGACAGGTAGAGACAGACAGACAGACAGACAGGTAGAGACAGACAGACAGACAG